CACACCTCGCGCGGGCCGGTGGCCCCCGGGTGGCCGGCGCTGCGCCTCCGCGCGCGGCTGCTGGGGTCTCATGGCAACCTTTCCCGAGGAGGCTGCACGCCGCGTTTTGTTTTGTTTGCGCAGCTTCTGCAAGGGACTGGCTTCCTTCCCTTCGTGATCGCCGAAGTCAGGACCCCTGGAAACTGATGTAGCGCTGTACTTTTTTTTCCCTCTCTCTACGTTCTGAGTCTGAGATCCATGTTGGTTTTCAGTAAATTAAAAGACTGCGATTAAAAAAAAACACCAAAAAAAAACCCACAGACATTGAGCACAGGAAGAGCAAGGGCCTAGAATCTCTCTCTACACAAGCCAGCCTCCAGGAATTAAAAATGGTTAAATTCGTAAGTGCCCTGAGTACAATTTAGTAGAAAAGGGCAGGGATGCCCAGTACCTGACAAGGTCTGGCGCTTTCCATAGCCTTGAAACAGGCACCTGTCAGAGGCAGGCTCTCTCAAGGCACCTGTGAGATGAGGGCCAGGCAGAGAGCCCCTGGCTTTGCGTCTGTGTCTCTACCCCTAAGACGTTCCAGTGTGGGAACAGCGGTGTTAATTCACCCCCGAACCTGGCGAGTATTGGCCTGGCTGGGATTTGCTGTCATTGAAACAAATCAAGAGAAGATAATGCATTTGCAGAAGTCATAAGTAGTTTTATGTGTTTGAACTTACGTGGACGATGTACACATAGATTTTTTAAAAATAGTTAAATAGCGAAAATNTTTATGTGTTTGAACTTACGTGGACGATGTACACATAGATTTTTTTAAAATAGTTAAATAGCGAAAATAAGCATTTTTATTCATCCTTTGATAATTTTAAGTTTGTCTGCTTGTTGGTTTTTTTTTTTTACCCTGCGGTTTACACTGTGTTGAGTGACCCCAGCCCATGGATGGCATGCCAAGTTCTTTGTTGTTTTTTAATCCTGATCTGAGGGTATTTTTTCCATTGTTTTTCAGAAAGAGTGGAAGGGAGAGAGAGAGAAACTTTGATGTGAGAGAGGCATCGATTGGTTGCCTCCCGCACTCACCCTCACCCGGGCCAGGGATGGAGCCAGCAGCCAAGGCGGTGCCCCTGACCAGAACTGAACCCGTGACCCTTGGGTCTGCTGGCTGAGGCTCTAACCACTGAGCAATACCGGCCAGGGTGGCATGTCAGTTTCAAAAAGTGATTGACTTATTTTGAGGGTCAATTTTCCTTATTCAAATCAATGAGAATTTTTTAAAAAAACATCATTTATCTCTTTATATGAATGTCTGTAATCTGTTTTTTGGAACTGATAAAAGGCATATGATAAAATTTAGAAAGAAATAATTTTATTTTAAAATTTTGCTTTTTCTCTTTATTAGTTTTCCTTCAGTATCAGCAGATCGAATTATATCACTTAAGTTCTTTTCATTAAAATTGTTGTGACCTTTCTGCAATGTTATTGCATTACCTACGTGCAGAGGTTACTTTTGTATAGTTACTCCTGCTAATTACATATAGAAATGGCTTTAAATTTATATTTAATTTTCCCCATGTTATTTTTGATAGTCATCCTAAAATTTTGAAATTAATATTCTAATTTGCTCTTTTATGTGGGTAAGCTATATTCAATATTTTGGAATGTTAATTTCATAATTTTAATTCTGCTAACTACTGAGAGAAAAACCTGTACAATTCATTTTTTTAGTTGTTTTCGCTGAAATTGTTTAAATATTTAAAGCAAGAAATGTGTGGGTGAGAGGAATTGTAAATTTTATTTATCACAAAGGAGCATGAATTTTATTTTTTTTGTTTTTAATCTTCACCTGAGGATTTTTTTTCCGTTGCTTTTCAGAGAGAGTGGAAGAGAGAGAGAAATACCGGTGTGAGAGACACATCGATCTATTGCCTCTTGCACGCACCCAGACCAGGGCTGGGGACAAACCTGCAACCGAGGTACATGCCCTTGGCTGAAATCAAACCCAGGACCTTTCAGTCCTCGGGTGAATGCTCTAACCAAACCGAGCCAAACTGGCTGGGGCAGGAGCATGAATTTTAAAAGGATGAAAAATACCACTTTGAATTTACTTAGCAGTACATATAACACCTAGCTATCTGCCCAAAGCAACTTTTGCCTTCAGTGCTAATTGGTTTAAAGGTAGAATGTGTGTTTTATTCTAAGAAACTGTGAAGCCCACATGTTACTTTTCAGAGAACCCAAAGTGTAGACTTGTTAAATTGTAATGTTTGAAAGCCCATTCTCATTACAAGTCTGATATGATACTAATTTCCTTAGAAAACCACTTTTGGACTCTAGTAAATGGCTCCCTTGTTTCAGACATTACTTTGATTGAATGTAATTTGAATCCCCGAAGTAGTCTGTTTGAACATTCCCTGAAGTTTTCTAAATTAATTAGATTGGTAAAAGTATCCCATAATGTCCTCCCCCCCCCCCATAATGTTCTTGAGTCTGCATTTTTTTGTGTGACGTTTACTGTAAAATTACTCTTTTTCTTTAGACATGGGGAAGTCTTTTTCCCATTTGCCTTTGCATTCAAATAAAGAAGATGCTTATGGTGGAGTTGCATCAACTGACAACATGAGGAATGGATTGGTTCATAGTGAAGTCCATAATGAAGATGGAAGAAGTGGAGATGTCTCTCAGTTTCCATATGTGGAATTTACAGGAAGAGATAGTGTCACTTGCCCCACTTGTCAAGGAACAGGAAGAATTCCTAGGGGTATGTGCATTGTTTTCCCTTTAAAGAAAGATTCCAGGCATTTGCTCAAGAGGAACTAGACGAAGAGGGGTGGTACATGATGATGAAGTCAAATAGGGGGGAAAATCAGTTTGTGGCATATCGTAGGGGAAGTCAGAAGGGAATAATCCCCAAGTGCTGTTTGCAGGCTACCTTGGGAGCAGTGGCAACAGTGGAAATAGTAAAAGTATCTTTTTGCTCTTTTGTTTTCTGCTTAGTCAAAGTTGATAATGTGACTCTGGAGAAGCCCCAAGGGAGGGACACGGGCAATATAAGTTCTCACAGAGTCTCTGATAAATGCCTAGGGTAGGGGAAGTTTATATTTGAGTTGGCCTTTGATTGTGATGATTTTGTCTTTGCAGTGATAGTAACTGTTTGAGGATAAAAGGATTCTTTTAGTTGAAGGGATTAATGTGGGGGGGGGGGAATTACCTGGATATATTTTTGAGGTATGGTCAGTGGGCTTTTTTAGCAGCCTGGAAGTGGATAGTAGGAAATCAAGGATGACTCCAAAAGCATTTTTTCATCTGAACAACTGGAAGGATGAAGTAGTTTTAGGATAGAGGAAAGGTTTGAGTGTGTATGTCAGGGGAGAGCTCAGGAGCTCAATTTTAGTTATGTATGTAGCTGAGATGAATAAGAGTAGAGTGGTATAGGATAGTAAGAAGCTAGGAAAATTTCAGGACAAGTGGAATTAGAGAAACTAAGACAGCTAGTTAAACAGCAGTTTGCAGCCTTCGATTAAATACTGTCTTCCCTAAACGAAGGAAACTTAAAAGTAAATAGTTTGCACTTCTCCCCAGCCTGAGAATGATTCGATGGCTTAAATCACCCTATTCAGGGAGACAGATAACTGAAATCCAATTAGTTCCATTTGCCAGCCACACCCAAGGACAGACAAATTAAGAGAGATCTCATTTTGGTACACCAGCATAAAGCTGATGAATGTTCTATTGATTCTCCTGTAAGACCTCCCCTAAACGCCCAGCCTTTAAAACCCCAGCCTTTAAAACCCCTGAAAACGAAGGGCCCAGTGTGCTCTCCCTGCAGGGAGCATACTCATGCCATTCCCTTTCCCCTCTCCTTCCCTCACCCCACAAGTGTGCATCTCCTAAACCCTAAAGGACCCCCTTGAGATTTGCAACCAGGGAGCAATGTGCAGTAGCAGCTTGTCCTGATCTAACCCCCTGAACCTGTCTCCAAGGCCCCGTTTTCTCTGAATTCCCAGTGAGCCAAGCAGCCCAGCCTAGCCTCTCCTGTTACTTTTATGCTAGGCCCTTCCTTTTCCTAAGTGTTTTTGCTAAGGTTAATAAATTCTTGCTTGCTTTTCTACACTTTGTCTCTCGATTGCAATCTTTCCTCAAGAAGACAAGGACCGAGGTATCGTCCTCTCACAGGTGACTTGAACACCAAGTTCAATGGTGTGAATAGAAAATGGAAGAACCCCTGACACTGAACCCTGGGGCGTTACATTTTGAGGTCAGTTACATGAGAAAGAATTTGCAAAGACACTGGAAAAGAGCGGCTAGAGTAGGAGGAGGAAATCTGCATTGCGGTGTCCTAGAAGGTAAATGTAGAGCATATACCAAGGGGCAAAGAGTGGTTGACTATGTTAGATATTACTGATAGATAGATCAATTAACGTGAGGACTGAGAGTTGACCATTGGATTTAGTGATGTAGAGACCACTGCATACCTTTAATGAGCAGTTTTGGTAGCCTGTATAAGTGTGTATAGAGTGGGATCAAGAGCGCATAGGAGCGAAGTTACATAGTGGGAAGAGAGTTTTGGGTGGGGGTTACTATGTAGAAAAGGAGAGTAGTAGTATAGCTGTGAGAGATCAGAGAGATTTTTAAGATGGAGTGAAAACTGTTTGTACGCTAATGAGAATGATCCACAGAGAAAGCATTTATGTTGCAGGAGACAGGAGAATTATTAGATCTAGTGCACAAGTAACAGGAGAGAAGGTAGAGTGTGTGGACGCAGAAGTAGATAGGTGGTCAATATGGTGGTAGGAACTTGTGGAAGTTCTCTTCAGTTTGTCACATGAGCTCTGAGATTCTGGGGAAGAAGGTATTGGACGTTTCAAAAGAGAGCTGAAGTTATGAAATTGTGTCTCAGAGTGTCAGGTTGAGAGTGTGAACTAAGGAAATATAGTGTGATTGTGGGCATCATTAAGGGCCCCTTGAGATTAGTGATCTAAAATGAGACCAGTGAGCATAATTAAATGTTTTTTTGCTATCTGCATTTAACTGTGTGGATAGGCATAGTAGCTAATGGGTTGGTTTTAACCAGGATTGTAGTTTAGCCAAATGAATTCTAACAAGATGTGATATGTATATATACACAAAGAAACATATATACATAATATATATATTTATTTATATGTGGGTGTGTTGGGGTAGTATAAATGAGGGGAGAGTTATGGAGGGGTCTGAGGAATATTGGAAGCATTATGGAAGCCTTTTAAAGAGAATTTGACTATGGTGCTTTAATAGTTAATACGAAGAGCCAATTCTGATAGATTGGAAAATTGGCATTTAATGATCCATTTAGCCATTGAAGTATATAGATTTAGCTCAACCCAAGAAATAAATGATGGACTTTGAAGTAACTTAATACAGAATGATGTGGCCTTAAAGAGTCCTGGAAGGCTCATTCCATGGGGGCTCCTGGAGCATGAGATGCGGTGTGGGTGAATTTTGGTTTTCAGCGGAGATGGTGTAGGCACCCTTGTTGTTGCAGGGGTTTCAGGATACAGAGGAAGCAATATGTTTCTTTTGTTTTCATCCAGGTAACCAAATCAGTCTTAATGGAAAACTATGGGGTTGAAGGAAAGCCTGGTAAATTCAGGTCTTTAAAAAGCTGGAACTTTCCAGATTTTTTTTTTCCTAGTGAAGAATTACTGTTTCTCATTCTTTGTACTATTCCAATTAGCAAAACATCTAAGTATGAAAAAAACAATTATTGGCTCTGTCACTCAACTTCTACTGGGTAATCTCTGAAGGTTTTTAAAAAAATATATCTTTATTGATTTCAGAGAGAGGAGGAGAGAGAAACATCAGTGACGAGAGAGAGTCATTGATCAGCTGCCTCCTGCATGCCCCCTGCTGGGGGTTGAGCTGGCAACCAGGCTGTGTGCCCCGACCGGGAATCGAACTGTGATCTCCTGGTTCATAGGTCAGTGCTCAACTGCTGAGCCACGCTCGCTGGGCTCTCTAAAGATTTTGAGAGCAGTTTACTAAAAGAATGTGATGGGAGCTACATGGTATTTTGGTCTCTCCAAAGCAGACTTTGTTGAGCAGCCGTTATATTTTTAATTAATCATGTTCATAAAATTTTAAACTTTAACTTTTAGGGCAAGAAAACCAGCTGGTGGCATTGATTCCATATAGTGATCAGAGATTAAGGCCAAGAAGAACGTAAGTGATTATAAGAAAGTGGCAATTTTTTTGGTGGGTGTTTTATTTATTTATTTATTTTTTTTCTTTTCAAATTATGTATAATAATTACTCTGGTTAACACTATTAAAAGGAAAAAATACTATCAGGTTATTAAGTAATGCTCTCATATGCTTTGTTTCATAAAAATAAAAAAAGTCCTGGTTAGGGTAAGTAAGGTCTTGAAAGCAACATAGTATCTGAACCTTCACAAATCCATTTATTAAAACACAAACCTAGAATAGTAGTAGGAAACACGCATGGAGAAAAATGTGTTTATTAGACAAACAAAAAAAGGATGTTAGGTATTCCTACTAGCCACAGAGTAAAACCATGATGACAGCAAGGACCTAACATGCTGAGCAGTTGTGTGGAAATTGTGAAGGGAAGCAAATAAAGAGTTCCTAAGAGTCCAAAGACCCCTGATTCCCAAAGCAAACACCTTACCTCTAAAGAAGAGGAACCCACTCAGGGAACTTCCAGCAAATACCTCTGAGAATAACCTGGTAAAATGGGAGAACTCATGCTCAAGCCTGGAGAGAGTGCAGAAGCGGCCGGAAAGATCCACAAAGGGTCCGTGAGAGCAGGAGGAACCAGTCCATCCTATGCCCTCAAAGACCTGAGGGGAACTCAGTAAAAATTCTTAGAAAAGGACAGGCACATCCTCAGGAAGAACCTGCTGGGGTAGAATCCAGTTTGCATAGGGCAAGGATATGGACAGAGAGAAGAAAAGGCTCAGAAACTAGAGAAACCACCTCAGAACTGTAGAAGTGGATGTGCTGCACATCGTGGCCATCCTTTTTGATACCTCATATAGCAGCAGGATAGCTCCGAATGGGGTGAAATTGATGAGCATGTAGATACGTCAACATTTTTTAAAGAGCTTTTCAGAGGTGGTTCTGATGAGTCGCTCCAGGGAATCACAGTGGCAGAATTCACAGGTGGAAATTCTGCTTTGGTGAATTCAGGAGGGTGTCCTCCCTTGTGATTTTAATGTGCAGCCCAGTTTGGGGATCACTGCAGTAATGTTACATCTGTAATAAGCCTGAAATCCCTGTCTCCAACAAGGTAAATACATCTTCTAAGGACAACATTTTAACGCCAAGAAGAACGTGATTATAAGAAAGTGGCATTTTTTTTGGCTACTTTAAACCCAACCCTACTCTCAATACTTTTATAATGTAAAAAGTTGATAAAATACATCTTATACTGGTAGTATAATAGCGGGAAATTTCAAGTTGAAAATATCCTCTCTAAATGTTTCTTTATGCGGTATTTGATGCACATATACTTACCTACTCCATTTTCCTTTGCAGAAAACTGTATGTGATGGCTTCTGTGTTTGTGTGCCTGCTGATTTCCGGGTTGGCTGTATTTTTCCTTTTCCCTCGCTCTATCGACGTGAAATACATTGGAGTGAAGTCAGCATACGTCAGTTATGACGTGGAAAAGCGTACAATATATTTAAATATCACAGTAAGTAAAAATTTATATTAAAAGTACTTACCTTCTTTTCTTTATGGTGTTAAGCAGCACCTTTGTCCCTGCTGAGAGAATATTAAATGCGACACTGGTTGGTTTGCTTTCTGTATGTCTGCTGTATTGACTTTCTCCATCATTTCTGGTTCTGCTGAAAGTGGCGAATAAGAAATAGTGGCAGTCGTGATATAGAATCATTTAGCATTTGAAGATGCCTTTAGGAGGGTAAATGAATTAAACAATTACTAGCAAAAAATGTATTTGCAATCTCTTTACTTTTCAACATTTGTTTCCAAATTTGAGACGGTTGTGAATTAGAATGGGAGAGGTTGGGACCAGCTGTTACCTAAGTAAAGTACTGTTTAACATTTTATATGCCCACCTTTGTATTTATTAGAATAAGAATTCACTTACTATATTAATATTTAGTAAAAATTTAGATGAAATTTAAAAATTATTTTTATTGAATTCTTGCTAAGGTCACAAATACATTTTCTAACATTTATTTTTCTATATTCCTATACCATTTCTGGGCCTTTTTTTTTTTTTTCCATTTTGTGCTTATTGTAGCATATTGTATACATAGTGCTCATGCATAAAACCAAATAATGGTTCATTTACTATTCTTTGACATTTTTGTTAAAACTTTTTTTTCTTCTAATAATGAAACATGGCCACAACTGATGTCATTTTTTTAATTAGTTTGAACACATGTTTGTTCTGCTTATTTTCAGGTAACTTGTACATTTTCTGCCTCCTTTCTTTTGCAGAACACACTAAATATAACGAACAATAACTATTATTCTGTTGAAGTTGAAAACATCACTGCACAAGTTCAGTTTTCAAAAACAGTTATTGGAAAGTCACGCTTAAACAACATAACAAATATTGGTCCCCTGGATATGAAACAGGTACGCTTCAGCCATGAAATACTTTGGAGAGGTTAAATGAGTCTCGATTATTTATCGTACTAACTTGAGGGAGGTGGGGGTTTCCTCAAAAACTTGACCTTGAGATGTATTCCATGAATGTATAAGAGAAAGTCTTAGCATCTGTCGGACTCTTAGAGAGATTTCTGAACTCTTTGAAGTTACGAAATATATCTGAAATACTTGTGATCCTGTCTATTTATTTTATTTTTTGCCTTTCAGATTGATTACACAGTACCTACTATCATAGCAGAGGAAATGAGTTATATGTAGTAAGTTCTCATTTTTATTAATTTTCTCATTAAATTATAAAGAATGAAGGATTAAATATGTGTATGTTTAATCTCCCGTAATCATAGCAGTCACAAGACCGCATTTTGGAATCTTCCTTCTGGCTTCTCATCTCTGTTTTTCTCCCTTTGTAACATGCATGACATTTATGTACGTCTATACACATAAAAGAATTCTTTTATTTTTCAGCATTAGAATCATATATACCATGTCACTTTCTGTTTATTATGTTAAGAAAGCCATATTCTCATATATTGTCTTATTTGTTGATGTTTTATTGTAGGAAAATGAATAATGTATTGGTTTGAAGTTCTAAAGCTTTTAAATTCGTTCTAAATGATTAACTCTCTTAAGTAAAACAGTGATAAATTTTCATCATCTTTTGACATCAGCCTGATACAGAATTGTGAGTAACAAACTAGTTAGTGAAATTTCAAAAGGTGAAAAAAACTAAAAGTAAATTGCCTTCACCAGTGTGGCTTTGTTGGTTGAACGTTGTCCCAAGTGCCAAAAGGTCACTGGTTTGATCCCACCCCACCACTCCGCCCCTCATCGGGGTGCTTATGGGAGGCATGCTGTCAATTGCTGTTTCTCTCTCACATCTACTCTTTCTCTTTCTCTCTCCCTCTCTCTTCCTCCCTCTAAAATCAATTGAAACATTTATGAGAAAAGTAAAAGTAAATCATGGCCCATGTTAACACAACTCTACAACTGCTATAGTAGGAAAGCATATTTGTTTTTAGAATAAGAAATCATGAATATATTAATCATTATTTGAGATCTAGAAAATGTTCAACCAATACTGCTTATTATATCCCAGTAGTTTGTATTAGCTTTAACACAGGAAGAATAATTGTAATTAAACTTTAAATTTATAATGTCACAGGTGTCATTTATTCATATTGTTTTCTCTTTAACAGTGATTTCTGTACACTGGCATCCATCAAAGTGCATAACATAGTACTCATGATGCAGTGAGTATGAGTTTTTTGAAAAAGATATTTCTTTGTTTAAATTTCAGATTTATAACATTGGCTTAGAGCAGTGATTTTCAACTGGTGTGCCCCAAGAATTTTTAAAACATGCAATACTTGACTTTTTAGTCAGGGACACTGACCTCTTTTTCCTTAGGTTGTCAGATACAAAAATGACAACAGCCAACAAGGTAATAGCCGTCCAGTGTGAATGCCCTGTCTTGAATCATAAATATATAGGTCACATAAATTGCATCTTATTGGTCATGTTGCATAATAAGTTTGTGTCTGATTGGTTAATTCTTCGTACCAGAAACATTTATATACAAATATAAGCTCCTGACTTTTTAAAAAGTGCTTTAAAGCAGAAAGGCTAGGTAATTATTATTTGTAAATCAATCAAAATTATACCTGTTTTTTGTCTGATCAGCAAAAACTATATTTTTGGTGTGCTGAAGAATTTCAGTAATTAGGTTATGTGTGCCAATGAGATGAAAAAGGTTGAAAATCGCTGGCTTAGAGCATACACAACATTTTTACAATGCCATCTGCTTGGGTTTTAAGGCTTAAAGAGTGTTCTGATGTTGAATAAATATTATCCCACTTCACAAATGAGGAAATAGGAGATCAAGAAGTAGTAGAAGATCACATGCTGCTGAATAGTGAACCTGGACCTTGCAAGAACGTGGGAAAATTTCAGGGATTGGGATAGAGAGGACTGAACTCAGCGTCCAGTTCCTCGCTGCCTGTGGTAAATGATCAGTAGCATTAGTGAGGAGAAGTAATGTTATTGGTTTGTAGATAGCGTGTTATCCTAAGCTGTTAACACATTGTAGGTTATAGGTTTGGAATTTGGGCCATGAGCTAACATTTGATTAACACCTTTTCTGTGATGAGAGAGTTGTATGATTTTACATGTAACTACTCAGTGTTTCTCCTCATTTATTTTATTTTTAGAGTCACTGTGACAACAACATACTTTGGACACCCTGAACAGATATCCCAGGAGAGGTACCAGTACGTCGACTGTGGGAGGAACACAACTTACCAGCTGGGGCAGTCTGAATATCTGAATGTGCTTCAGCCACAACAGTAAAAACAGAGATGCATCTGGAGGAGAAGAAACACCTGTTGGTATTTTTTAAACTCTGAAGGATGAGGTACTTGCTTTCTGATAGGAGATCTTAAATTGAACAAACCTAACGTTTACACACCTGTTTTAAGAATACAGCTAAAAGTATGTGGACTTGCAAGTTTCTGCAGCTCTCCACTCTGAGTTCATGATATTTGTACCAGGATCTTTACTTGAATCTAAATTTACTGATTGGTTTTCTTCTTCCCCCAACCCCTAAACTGAGACTTTCCCTACAGGACAATAAATATTTAAAATTCAAAGCTCCAGTCACTGCTAAAAACATAAGTTTGATGATGAACGTAATTCAAGAAACTTTATTTCTGGAAGTTTTTATAGACTTACTACCGATAGCCTATTCTTTATGAAAGACTTTTAAGGAATAACCTTTTTTTCCTGTTTTATAAATTCCCATTGCTACAAGGAAGTATTTCAACTATATGGTATTTTAGCTAAACAATTTTAGTTTTCCATTTGTTGAAATTCTACTCATTTGCATTTTTTATCCATCTTATTTCAAGCCAGTGCTTGAGTAACACTTATAAATAAACCAAAATAATATTTTGCAAAATTCTGTACCTAAAATTTTTAAAGTCTCTAAATGTGTTTCACATGTCTTTCCATTTTAGTTACAGTTTTGTGAAATTTCCATGTAATCTTCAAACATAATAATGTACATTATTGTAAATAAACTGTGCATGGCTTTTATACAGCTTTAATAAATGTCAAATAAAATGATACAGAGTCAAAATAAAGTAAGTTGCTTATAAAAATAAAACAGGAAGTGAAATTCAGAAACCTATAGAATGTGAATATGTTTCATTTATGTACTAGATCAGGCATAAAGTAGATTTGAAATAAGATGTTTCATGCTCCACTTCTTTTTAATACTGCTTTTCATACCAGATGTGATGACACTTCACAACTCTTAGCTACCAAACTTCTCAATTTTATGAATGCTTTAGGGGTGAAAATTATTTCCCTGGTTGAAATTATCGAAGAAATCCTGTCATTAAATGATGGTGGCTGTATAAAAATAAAATCTATATTATGCTATTAAAAATGTAATTACTTTGCATATCACATGGATGTCATGCCTCTAGCAGTTACATTTTTAAAGTTTTCTACTTTTGGTTTGAATTTTATTTCAAATTGTTTTCTAGTGTAAATTATTGACTTTGTTGTTTTATACTTTCAATACCATTTACCAGCATTGGGCTTTTTGCCTCCTCACCAAGGTCTAAGTACCTTTTAAATACATACCAGTGAGTAGGGGCTGATATGATACCAAAAAAGTGGGGCGTCTTGAGATTAGTTTCTTTCTGTTCCCTAGTAACAAGAATCAGGTTCCCCCGCCCCCTCCCCCAAGTGCCTAACTTAGGTCTGAACATACCTAATTATCAGCCTGACACTCAACTCTAAAACATATCCTGTATTTAATGATTTAGATGAATAATTATTTATATTAATTAATTATTAGTAATTATTTAATAATTATGAAGCCCTCCTTTCTGCCTTTAAACACACTCAGGTCTCCCCTCTGTTTCCATATCATTTTCTCCAAGTTTTCCTGAGTGAACATTTTATATAAGTGGAATGCACTGACTTGTCTTCCTTTAATTTATTGCTAACTTATCCATTGTTACTGCTAAACTAAAATCAGCCCTTGACATTTATTATGGACTTCTGGTCAAACCCAATCTTTTAATTTTTTTCCTTCTTTTTTTGACTACTCCCATTCTTAAAACCGCACACTTCTCTACTGTATTGATTCTATTTGTGTTTTTCAAATCATTGTCGTTTCATTTTCCCTCATTATCTATCTTTTGACATCTTTTTAAAAATGTTTTTATTGATTTTTAGAGAGAGAATAAGAGGAGGGGTAGANTTATCTATCTTTTGACATCTTTTTAAAAATGTTTTTATTGATTTTTAGAGAGAGAATAAGAGGAGGGATAGAGAGATAGAAACATTGATTAGAATCATCATCGATCGGCTGCCTCCTGCACGCCCCCGACTGGGGATCAAGCCTACAACCTGGGAATGTGCCCTGACTGGGAATCAAACCCTGACCTGTTGGTTCTTAGGTTGGTGCTCGACCATTGAACCACACTGGCCAGGTTCTTTTGACATCTTTTAACAAGTATTATCTAGACCCTCTTTTGCCCCATAATTTCTATTCCTGTGACTTCAACAATCATCTATATTAAGGCTTCCAAATCTGTTTCTACATACCTGACCATCCCCCAACTAGTTTCTCATGTAAGTAGTTACCTAGTGATAATAGTGTTTCAGTGACTATGTGTAAAACTAAAAAAATGTTTTACAAAATCTTACCATTTTTTGTTCTCACCTTGTCTTCGTGTCCTATTTCCTTCAAAATCACATTCATTTCTTCAGAATCCTCCATCAGATATGTCTTGTTCAAAAATCAGTCCTGACTTGTTTTCTTGCGTTGTATCTCTTAACCTTGGAAAATTATACAGTGTAAATTAAACAGATTTTTCTGTTGATTTGTGATTCTAATATTCATTTAGAGTGGATTCATGGTATCAACTGAAGAGGCAGGAAAGTGAGGGAACATTTGCTTTTAGTGACTTAGTTTTGAATATTTTTTTCTTCATTCTCTAAATTAAAAACTTATTATACCTACTTCCTATGAGCTTAAGTCAGAAGAAAACTAGAATTTAAAATAAGTAAAAAAACACCCAGTAGTAGAGGAAAGGGTGCCTATGACTAATTTCAGAGAGGGTTAAGTAATTATCAGAATAAGCCTAAAACAGAGCAGGCTGTAAATTAATAAAACTACAGAAACACATTCAGGTAAAGCCAAATTGTAGCCATTTAAAAAAATCTGGAAAGAATGAATGAGGTTTATCTTTCTTAGGTCACTTTCCAGTGTAGTTTCTTACATGGCAATAGGATAGATATAAATGCATTTTTACAAACTGCTCTCAGACCTTTATCCAAGGACATGGTAAAGATGTTCCAGATTTTTTTCTGATGTTTATAAGGATAACTTTCCCTTAAATTACACCTTTAATAAATAGGCCATTCTAACAAAATATAATACTATATCAAGCCTCTGTGCCGATACCGCATGTATATAGCATTGTCCTTTTCAGAGCACTTTCATGTTTTTCTTGTGTGATTTCCCGTAGCCCTGTGAGTTAGACAAAAGAGGATGGTAGGATCCTTGTCTTTTAGAACAGGAAGGAGGGGCATGGAGAAGCTGAGGGACTTGCAGAAGTTTAGATATTTAGTAAATAGTTTGACTGGGTCAGACCTAGTTTTTCTGTCTCCCATATCTGTGCTCTATCACTTAAAATACCCATTGGAAAGCTCTGCTGACTCAGGTTAGCATGATAAAAAATTAGAGAAACCGTTCACATACTTAATAGTGACAATCAAAATAATATTGATCGACCATGATTTGGGTAAGTAAGTACCTGGAATATTTTAGATGGGAACTGAACACCAGTAAAATATTTTGGAGCATAATCTATAGCTTACTATTCCTGTAAAATTTAGTACTCCTTGATCATTCCAATGAAGATATGACTGATATGTCATCAGAGTAGACTATAATATTTTTTGAGATTTGAAATATGAACAGTATGAAAATATTAGATACCAGACAAATTACTTGAAATTGGTAAAATGGTTACTGTATAGTACATAACATGTAAAAGACTGTTTTTGTGTACAGTTTTTCTATGCCTCTTTTGTGTTTAGGCCAATGAGGTAATTCTTTTCTCCAAAAATTCATGACAAGAAAATAAAATTCACTTCAGATATTCTGAATTGTAGTTTGGAAATGACACAGTGCAGTGTTAAAATATATAGGAAATGACTGCCAAAACACACTAAAAGTAACCTAGGAGACTTCAAATGTTAGTCTAATGAATCCTTTGTTCTTAGCCTTACTGTATTGCAATATAATTCTGGATATTTCTTTGGAGAGCATATTCCCCAGCTCTCTGCCACACTCTTTTTTTATTTAAAGGTTTTAAGCAATTCTTGATATAATGATTACATCTTATGTAGGAAAGTAATTTGTTAGGTACTTGACCCCAAAGTTAAGCCACTGCTCGGTATAGCTAATATTTATTGGTTACTTAACTGTGTCACATACTGTATTAATCTTTTGTGTGCACTGTGTTATTCCTCAGAATATCCCTCTAAGGTGAATACTGTTGTTACCTCCCATTTTATATCTGAGAAAACTGAGTTTTAGGGAAGTAAAAAAATATGGTGAAGATGGTAAGTTGGCAGATTCAAGATTCGTAACAAGTCTGTGTGACTCAAGCATTATTGTTCTTTACAATTGGCATATTTTCTCTCCAGTCTTTGAAAGTTTTATTTGTAAAAATATATTGGTGGTTGCACCTAATATAAAACTTTGAGATGTTTGATAGTACAGTTCAGCCTTGAACAATGAGGGGAAGTTAGGGATACAGACCTCCCACACCGTCGATAATCATCGTATTAAATATAGTCATCTGCGTCTGGGGATTTCTAACCACAGAGTTGACCCTTGAACAGTACGGGTTTAAATTGCGCAGTTCAATTTGGGTTTAAATTGGTCTCTGCAGTTCAAACCTGTGTTCAAGGAGCAACTATCTTCAAAAATACTATTAGGATACTTTATTATATTGTAGATCTGTGGTATAATACAAATTTATTGATTTTTAAAATATTCATACTTATCTGTTAGGATTTTATTTTTTCTAAAAGATGAAAAATTTTTAAATTTACAAATACATATCAACCTTCGTTGATGAGCAGTATAAATTGACTTTCAAGTTACTAAGTTGCAAGCCAAAGGTTGTTACCATAATGTCATATTTAGCTCATAACATCTTGGAAGCAGCAAATCCTTGGCTCAAATACATCTAAGAATAATTAATTTGATTTCTTTTGTAAAATATTTTAAATGAGGTGTTTATCTTAAGCAGTTTTGTTTTAAGGAAAAAAATGTTTGAGAAGGTAGAGTTAAAAGACAAACATTTCTTTAAAAATTTTATTTTTACATGAAAACAAAATATATTTACAATGTGCTTCAAACAAATTTCACTTCCATATCCCAGATCCTCTTATTTCAAAGTAAAAATTTTCACTTGTCAGCTGAAATTTGATTAGAACTGTGTATTTTTCTGCTTAAAATGTAAATTTCACAGTGGATTTTTGAACTTTATCCTTAATTTGGATGAAAGCAAGTGATATATTTATAAAGTTACTATTTGGGAAAGAATGGTAATTTTAATTTTTTTTAAACTACTAATATGATTGGTTCTGTTTATAGTTCTTTTTACATGTGTTTAGCACAGGCTCTAAATTTAAAAATATACTGTGGTCTGTATTGATCCAAAAAATATTTCATAATTTAACAAACGTAAGTTTTTCATAGCTAAATATAACTCTTCTAGAAGGAAATTGTTGTCTTCTGTTTAATTACAGTAAATGAAATATGTTTAAGAGAAATGTTTTCAGCATATTTTGTATACTAAAAAATATATCTAAAAGGATTAGTATTGGACCAATGGCCAAGAGGTAGTATTAACTACCATGTAGACTGTTACAGTTCAAATTGTTTCACTTCCCCCAGAATTTTAGAAACTAGAAATCTGGGAGGTGCCATTTCAGCTGTAGTTCGATGATTCTAAGTGCTGTCTAAGTACTGTTCATCTTTTAATTATCGTGTGACATGGAACATATGCCAGCTTGCAAAACATGCATAAATTCATCATGTGATTGTTTGTTTTTGGCATAAAATATCAGCAAGCCATGCTTTGTGTGTTGTGTTGTATATTTCCTTGTAGAACTAAGATTTTGGAAAATAATTTGAAGTGCTTGCTGACTTGACCTCCTTGGTCAAATATTTGAATGGTGGCATTACTGGGTAGATTCTAACCCATGATTCTAATTGTGGAATAAAGAATAATACAGAATATGAGACTATATTTATAGGGCACTTACTCTGTTTATATTATGCATTAGCCTCCATCATAACACACTTATTAAATTTCCAAGTCAAGCAGTTCTGTAATTATGACTATTGTTGCTGTTCATGTAACAAAACAGGCTTATAATAGTAAAATGAATAAAAGTGCCCCCAAGTGCTATTTTTTTTTATTCACTTGTAACTGTTAACTCCTGTAATTATGTATGACACAATAAAATTTGTAAAAATTTTAGCATGAAAAATAAAAGTTGTATCAGCCAAATATCTTGGTTATGCTTTTGAAATTCTCTTTACATAAATCAGTATAGATATTGAAAGTCCTTTAGCTTAAAGCTCTTAAGTCCTTGCAGCCTTTACCCACATTCCATGTTAGCATCATCTTTGGTTTTTCTTTCGTCCACTTAGCTTCTAGTCCATTACTGAATTCTATCTGTTCAACCTCTGTAATATCTCTGGAATCACTCTCATGCTTGAAGTCTTGTTTTTCTATAAAATAATTTGCCATATCTCTAATCCCCTGATCTTGTCTCTTTCAGTGCCCAGCTGACATGTCCCACCCCTCTCTCCATCCAAACTTACTAAAACATTTGGTGACATTTTCCTCCAAATGTGTACTTTTAAAAGAATCGCCCAATGTCAAAGATTTTCTTTTGTTTTTGAACTCAAAACTTTTTGTTTTGAACTAAAAAATATTGTGCTAATTTGGAGTTAGTATCTTAATTATGGTTTTAAAAATTGAATATCTACTAGCATGATCTGAAGTTGTGACAAAAATTATATGTATATCCTGGTAGAATAAAGGGGAAAATTT